GATTTCACTTCTTCAATACATGTGGTATACATAACTTTGGCCACTAATAATAAATAAAAAGTATTATGTAATCAAATTTGGTTAAATATCTATTTCAAGTTTATGATGGTAGTAAGGTAAACATAAATAAATATATTTGATAATAGTACGGAAGCACATGTATATGTTTTGATAAAACACGTGTGTTTGTTTACATCAACACATGTTTTTAGAATACCTGTAATGTTTACAATGTATTCCATTGGATGAAATTCGTCGCATTGCGAATTTAAAACAGGTATTCTATGTATCGTATGATTTTGGCTCGTGTTTCTCGTGCTTGCTGTTTGATATAAATTAAATGTAATTTATAATGTTATTATTCGAAGTTCTGCCTTACGCTGAGTAGCATACGCCGTACTACTGCCTTGCCTGTATTAAGTGGAAAGTAATGTTTTACTTATAATGATTTATTTAAGTTGTATTTCTTGTTTTGTAGATTGGTGTATATTTGTATGTATTAATGGTTGGCTGACTGTGATCGAGCCTGTATGACTGTTTTTATACCTAATTAATAACGACTGAGATTAAGCCGTAATGTGCTTAAAATGAACTTTGAAACGAACTGTTTGATTTATATTATACATTGGTTAATAAAAAGTATGCTACCCTCACAAGGAGAGCTCATTTCTGATACATGTGTTGAGTTTTATTGCATAAATAATTTATGTTCGTTTAAGTCTGGCGAATTAGAACATAAACAGAATTAACACCTTTATGTTATTGCTTCGAAAACGATGATGTCCTACTGATTTTATGGCCATCATACTTATATTCCTAAGTTTAAGAAGACACATTTAACCAATTAATTGTATGGTGTGTTATAACTTTGGATATCAAAATAAAGGTAAATACAGAAAAGCGCTTTGGACGCATCAAAATCATTAAGTGATATTGTCAATGTTAGACATGGATCCCAAAGTTTTTCATTTGGAAATTTTTTTTTTCTAATTTCATTTTACATTTTAGCAGATATAATAATTACAAGTTGATTCGAAAGACTGTGTCATGACTAAACAATTGCAGAGATTGTTTAAACACTCTTTTTTTTATTTAGGCTAAATTCCTTTAGAAGTTATGCGGAACTTAACCTTTTTTCGCTTATATTTCAATATCTCAACATCTCGGGTAACTTTTCCCGTTTGTGCATCCAGATAGTACCACCGTGTCCTATAACTATTTTCTTGATTTAAAACACTCAGTATGTCCAAATTCTATGACAAACACTAGCTCGTGGTCTTTATTCAATACCGTTTGAATTCAACTCTTTTTCTAACCTTCAGCGCACCCATCGCACATTCTTTGAAAGATCATGTTAAGCGTGATAGAACAGTTTAGTGTTGTTATTGATTTATTCAGTCGGTTGTCCATTGCATTAATACAAGCTTTCCATGAAGGGTTGAGACATTAAAAAGAATGAACAATTTTAGTGTGAATGCACCTTGAAATACAAATGAGAAATGTTTTACATTCTACTGCAAAGTTTTCGGCATCTTAAGGTGCAAAAGATTAATTTTGTATCATGCGCGGATATGATTGACGGATTTGCTTGGCGTCGAGTGACAAATAGTTCATGCATATTCGGAACGACTAGGAAAAACACGATGAAGAACAGAAATTTCGAATGCAACTCGAAAATTAATTTTTTGCCATCAAACCCCTGAAAGAGTTGTTGCAAGGATATATATATATGCTAACGTAAAGGAGATGTGGCATCGGACGTGGCTGCGTGTTTATACATTCAGCACAATGAAGCGAATAGATATAAGAAGATGTGGTATGAGTGCCAATAAGACAACTCTTTATCTAAGTCAAAATTTGTAAAATGAAAAATTATAGGTCAAAGTACGGCCTTCAACACGGAGCCTTGGCTTACACCGAACAGCAAGCTATAAAGAATACCCATTTACTGCCAGATGGAAGAAGTCCATAGATTGCCATATATGTTATACTCCATTGCTTGGGTTGGGATAACTTTTATACTGGATATGATAAATTAACTAGCCACACACTCGCACAAAAGTCTTGGCCATGCAAAATCATGATTTGTAGAATATTTGTCATACAATAATGGAATTTTCCAATGTACTTTAAATCAATAGCTTTAAACATTAGCTTGGTTAAAAAAAGGGACATGTCGGTGAAAAGAGAACCATAATTATTTCTGATGGGATTTCATATGGTCTCAGTTGAAAATAAAACGTCAACCTAACATTATAATAAAAAAAATTTGGTCAATAAAAAAAATCAAAAATCATATCACTGACACAGTTTCACAGTTTCAACATTTTTGTCGAATTAAGAGGTTTTTTTTTAAATATGATTTGTCCGTTCCTAAAGCAAGACATTTGTTTTTACTATGGCTTCTTAAAAAAGATGGACTTATAAGTCTACTTTGTGTTTAAGTTAATAATGAGGAATACGTGTGACTAAAAATTGGCAACAATCGTTATTAAATTGCAATTACTCCAGTAAGGAGTCGGCTGACGATTTCGGTCCATAGACTTATTTATAGATCTGGTCTTGCTGTTTATTTTTTCTGTGTAAAGTTTCTATCTATCTATTATAGTTTTACAGATATAAGGCAAAAATCACAAAAAGCAATTGGTAAAATTAGTAATTAAAGAGCAATAACTCCAATAGAGAATCGTCTGACGATTTCGGGTATGTTGAGAATTCATGACAAAAATCTCTTTTTTGTTGATCTTGTATTGCTGATATGCTTCTGTTTACATTTCTCTCTGTCTTATTTAGTTTTTCCCAAAACACAAAAAAAAAAGTCATTACCAATGGCAATAACTCCTATAAAGAGTCTACTAACGATTTCGGTAAAATTTGACGTATTTGTAGATCTTGTCTTGTTGATCATTTTTGCTTTATTAAGTGTCTTTCTATTATAGTTTTCAAGATGATAGGCAAAAACACTAAAAATTGGTAAAAATCGTCATTAAAGAGAAATTACTTCAATATAAGGAGTCGTTTGACGATTTCTGCCATGTTGACTTATATGTAGATCTTGTCTTGCTGATCATTTTTGCTATTTAAAATTTCTTCTCTATCTACTGGGACTATTATACTATTATAATAGTCCCAGCTATCTATTATAGTTTTAAAGATAATAGACAAAAAATGGTAAAAGTTCGTCTTTTAAGGACAACTATAAGAAGTCGCCTGACAGTTTTTTATGTTAATGAATAATACGTAGATCTCAACATTCTGAACAATTCTGCCCCTATCAGTTTTTATCTTTTTATAGCGGTTTCAAGATAATATTTAGGCAAACACGCAAAAAAACTGGTATAATTAGTCATTAAAGGGCAATAATTCTAATAAAGAACTGATCCTCTGAAGATTTAAGGTATGTTTTCATACAAGTGGGAAGTTAAGCTAGCTATAATAATACAACCAGGTTTAATCCACCATTTTCTACATAAGGAAATGCCTGTACCAAGTCAGGAATATGACAGTTGTTTTCCATTCGTTTGATGTGTTTGAATTTTCCTTGGAGTTTGTTATTTAACTTTTGACTTATTTGTAGGTCTCGTCTAGCTGATAATTTTTGCTTTTTAAGTTTCTCTCTATCTATTAAAGTTTTTAAGATAATAAAAACAGGAAGACAAAAATGGTAATTAAGGACAATAACTCCTATAACCGATCTTGGGTAGTGAAGGTCGTTAATCACCCCCTAGTAGTATTAACTCCTATATTAAAGAAGTCTCCTGACAGTTTTTATGTTTAATAATGAATAATACGTAGATCACAACATTTTGAACATTTCTGTCCCTGTTATATTTTCTCTTTTTCAAGATAATAAATAAAACTTGCATTTTACCCCTATGCTCTATTTTAGCCATGCTGGCCATGTTGGTTGGCAGGCCTGGCGGGGTCATCGAACACATTTAAAAAACAAACTAATTAAGTTTATCATATTAGGATAAACTGGTTAAATAAAAGTAGAACTCCGTTTTTTTCCGGAATCAATCCTAATTGTTTCAGAATTTAGTCACATTTCATAATACGTCATTTCGTGACGTCATTCATGCGTTGTTAACCAAGTGCAAAGGCTGCCAGCATAGTTAGCTAAAATCCCACCCACCTCCCCATTCACCCCCAAAAATAAAGATAAAAATTCTGCTGCTGTGTTGTTAAAATTTTTCAGGTTTATGAATTGAACGGATGCAGTAATCGCACAGATAACTGGATCTAACACATTCAGAATGAAAAGAACGTGCCATATTGCCAGTGAATGATCGCTTACTACATAGAGACTAGATCTGAGAAGCCGAAAAGAAAATATTTCCATCATTTTCCGTACGATTTCTCTATTTTATAGCAATTAACGTATCTGGATTGTAGCTTTCATTGCCTACCAATGAAGCACAGGCTTGCCAACAATAATGGTTCGGCGATTTGCACGTTTTTCTTGCCTTATCTTGCCGTCTGCGCAAAAAAAATCATACTGTGGCCATAACATTCCAAATTCTTTGTTTATCATATTTATCTTTGAAAACAAACGTTTGTTTAATATATATCTCATGTGCGATCAACCCCTTTCTCAGATCATAATAGTTTCTCCTCATGAGTGAGGAGAAACTATTATGATCCGAGAAAGGGGTTTAAAATCGCACATGAGATATATATTAAACAAAAGCGAGAAATTGGTTGGTCGCACATGAGACATATATTAAACGAAAGTAAGAAATTGGTTGATTGCACATATGAGACATACACTGTATATATGAAATGAAAGCAGTGTTGTATCTTTTATTAAATACCCCAATGATCATGATGATGATTGTGGCCAAGTTAAGTAAAATTTGGCAGTAGTTTCAGAGAAGATTTATTTAATGTTAACGGACGACGGACGCCAATTAATGAGAAAAACTCACTTTGCCCTTTGGGCCAGGTGAGCTAAAAATCGACTTTTGCTCTTGCGGTCTTGTGGTCAGGTGAGCGTAATCTGGCGGTAACAGATCAAACAAAAACACGGAAACCAGTTAGTTAGCTGTTTAGTAAAAACTTTATCAGTTTATTAGAAGATCTTATCCGGCTACCAAAGATGTCAAATGAACAGACTTTGAAGGTAAAATAGAATGTTTCTAGTTAAACCAGAGGCATACATGTATATTATATTTCTCCTATCCCAATCATAATAAAATCTCAAACGTTAAAAGCAGTAAAGATATGACCAATGACCAAATGTGCAAGTAGTCTAACAAGAACTTGTCATAATAATCTTCTTCTTTATAATTCAACACTCCATCAACATACTGATGATAACGTGCCGGGCACTGATTTTACTATGCCGCGCGTGCGTGGGATCTAATTTTTATTTACAGTGAATGATATTTAAGGAATGACTGTAATATTGTTTCTGTCTATGAAGAAATAACATAAAAAATATGGTGCACACTGAATAACCAGCGTAGCGGGTTATTTTAAAGTGTGAACAACATTTTTTATGTTATTTCGAATAGACAGAAAAAATATTAAAGTCATTTCTTATAATTTAATTCTAAAAAGGAGTAAATCATGATAAAAATCTGATGATGTCGCGGTCACATGACAAAATTATGTCTATGAGCTGATAGACAAAACACTTTCAGCCAATCAGAAGACGTGTTACATCCAAAATTAAATTATACAAAAATAAAAATAAAAAATCAACTTAATTTCTTTTTCTTCTGTTTTTGTACTATACATCAGGTTGGGAACAAACCCTCTGTATGGTGTTTATACCTGTATAGAGGAATAATCCTTCTATAGAGGGATAAAATTATCCCTCTATAGAGGGGTATTTTTGTTAATACCTTAAAGTTTGCTTCAAGTTTGTAGAGAAGTCTTTTGTGAGGAACTTTGTCAAATGCTTTGGCAAAGTCCATCACAATTATGTCAGTTTGAATGTTATTATAATGGAGGGGTTCACAGTACTATTAAAATTCTTGTGAATTTTAAAACAAGTTAGAATTTATCAGAACATCTCTTTTACCAGTTATGAAAGCCCAAAGAGCTAATGTTTATATTCTGTGACATGCTGACTTTAAATAAAGCTTTTGATTTGCAATGATTGATCATGATTCATTCCAACCCTGTCATGATAAAAAAAACTAATTTGTTTTTTGTTTTTGAATTTTTTTTATAGTTAATATACTTTTATTTTTAGTTGATTATATTCTTTGATATTTTAACTTGTTAAATGTATGTGCACTTCCATATATACAATTTTACAATAGCAGTAGTTTGATATATATATGATGCCCTTTATTCCTCACTGTACCCTGAGACTACTATAACTGTGTTATAGTAGTCTCAGCTGTACCATATCAAGATTAAGATTCTTATTTTCAATGTTTGGCAGCAAAACTGTTAATGTTCAGTTAATCTGTTAACTATAGTTATAAGAATTTAAAGTAAAGATTTCTTCATCTGAATAGATCATCAAATGGCACCAAAAACCCACTGATGCATTGAGAGCCTCAATAGCAATAGGAAACATACCTATTTATAAATATTTAAAAACCTACTTTAATTTCAAACTCAACTTTGAATTTGAAAATTTTTATTGATATCAAAAACCAACAAAAACAATTCACATTGTCATGATTGTGTAGATTTAGACTAAATAACCATACTTTGACCTATAATTGTTAACTTTTTATACATTGTGACTCGGATTGAGAGTTGTCTCATTGGCACTCATACCACATCTTCTTATTTATATAGTCACAAAATTGAGAGAAGTCATTATGAAAGAATTATTGACAATTGGTTGGATTACCTCATCACAATAGAATATGCAAGTTGTACTCACTCAACATGGTTGAAGATGAAGCTTATTTTTTTATTTACATGCCCTCTATATAATAAAGTTAGAAAACCCGATCTTAATTACATTTTTCATAGGTTGCATGACTTGTCTTGAGAAAATTTTATAAAGATGATCTTTTAATCTGGACAATGTCAAATAATGACATGCAACTTATATCTGAATTCAGTGATTATCTTAAAGGGGCATTAGCTGTCAAATTCATATTCACTGATTTGACTAAAAAAATTCTCATATTTGATTTATAACATACTAAAACGTGTATCCAAATTACAATAAGTCTGAAATAAGCAATTAACAATGCATGGACTCGATAATATTTATCAGCATTTCATGTGTATTTTAGTCTAGACGCCATTTAATTAACCTTCGAGATGACCTCCAGAGACTGCCGACGCCCACATAACCCGATATAAACATAAACATAAGTATAAATAGCGACCTCGTGCAACTGGACTTTTCTAGGTCTGTTTGATTTCATGTTATAGGTTAAAAAGATAAGTTGATCAACGTTTTTAGCTGTATAAGAATGACTATTTGTGGATCGAATCAGTCAACAAAATGTTTCATCCTTGTTCACTTTCAATGTTGACATTTTTTTTCTTTTAATGGCTGAACACGACTTAAACATGTATGCGTAACCAATCTCTAGCTAATGGGTTAAATTGAAGGTCACATGAATACGGATTCAATGAGGTGGAATTATTCACTTGCAAGTGAATAATTCATCAGCAATGTTTCTTAGCTTATTAGTCCCCTACTGACAAAGTTGAAGGGGACTTTAGGTTTGCACTCTCTCCGTCTGTCCATCCGTCAGTCCAGCAAATCAGCTTTCCACACTTTTTTTCTTCGTTCTTGAAGATATTGATTTGATATTTGGTATATAGTTTTATGAGAAGTTATAGATCAAGTTCGAATTTTGTTCCGGTCTGATGATTTAGTCCAGAGTTATGGACCATAACTCTGGACCATATCTAATGTTAGAGTACTATGTTAAACCATATTTCTGTACAAAGGGAGATAACTCATTTTTTAAAAGGCATTCTTTGTTAACTTATTTGAAGAGTTTTTTGGCAGGTTTGTTTGTTATTTAGTATAAACTAATTTTCTGAATGCTAATGATATAAAAAAAAAATTATGATAATAATCTATTTTTATTAATGTATATATTTCAATACATTGCATTGTGTAGATAAAAGTTGTTGACATTTTATAGATAACTTACAAATCTATATTAGTTTGTAACAAATGAAAGAAAAAATATTTGTAACTATTAATTATATTTGATTATAATTTGAAAATAGATATACACTGTAATACATCATATCTAATTTTAGAGAACTATTAATCATATCTAATGTTTTTTCACTCATATAATCAGTTTTCCACACTGTTTTTAGTCATGCTTGAAGATATTGACATGATATTTACTTTTTGTTTACACCATGACAAGTTATAGAATAAGTTAGCATTTTGTTCCAGTAAAATGAATTTTTACCCGGTAGGGGACTATGTATTGCCATGCAACACTCTCATAATGCTTGTTTTGACAAAATTGAACTAAACTGGCTTCTAAAAGCGAATTATTATTTTTCATTAATGATTGAACAAAAAAAAAAATTCACATATTTTAATTTTTTTAATTCTCGTAGCTAATGCCCCTATAATTCTTTATTTGAAACAAGAAGGGCATAAGATCTGAAAACAAATATTCTATCTTGAAAACAAAAATATAAAAATATATGTTATTACAATAAGTTTATGAATATTTGATGTGGACCAGGAGTTATCCTCTGTTGTATACTATATGAACTAACTCTCCCCTTTTATCATTGAACAATTATTGTTTTGTAATATATGTGTTATGCAATAATAATCATAATTATATTGAATTGTCTGTATCTATAACTTGATAGATATGCTTGTGATGAGCCCTATGAGTAGGAAATAAAATATTAGTATTAGTTTAAGTATTTCTGCTGAAACTACAGTGTTAACTGCATGCAGCTTTATTTACTCCCAACAAAATATTTGTCAACTTTTTTATAACTTTACTGGAAAAATGAAATAGTGATAGTGGTACCCTTAAGGCCTGTGCTAAGTGGACTTTTGGTAACTTACACAAAAATAGTAAAACATAATTTTCTATGGCTGTGTAAATTATAAATATTGTCTTTATATTTTTCAGATTTTGTGCATACATGGTTATAGGTAAGATAAATGTAAACTAGCAGTTATGGACTTAGCATGGCATTTTTACACAATTGTACATGTATGTTGAACAATATTTTTTTAGCTTAAAAGCTTTGCTGTAATGTTTGTTAGGATGTTTGCTGATGTATTTCAACATAAGGAATTGACTTTTAGAGAAAAAACAGATAGGCTGAGTTCCAGTCTGTATACAGGATATCCAGATTTGATTGGATAATGGAGATGCTGTGACATGGTTATTTATTAGGCTCCTACCGTAAATTGCTGTGAAGCCAAAGGGGACTTTAGGTAATTGCACTCTGTGTTTTTGTCCATTCTGTAAGTTTGACCCACGTTTTTCTGTAATGCTTATATATCTTTTGATTTGATATATTTGATGTATAAGAATTTTTAAAAGTACAAATTTAGTTTCAATTTTCTGGTTGAGCAACTTTTGCAGAAGTTGTGGCCCATAGATAAAGAAAATTGCATAAAAATATCAGTTTTACACCCTTTTTCCTGTAATGTTTAGATATTTGTTGTATATAGTCAGTCCTATCATCAGAATTTACAGATTGAATTTGACTTTAGTTCAGGTTAGTGATTTTATCAGGTCTGGAGTTGTTGTCCTTGGACATTTAAAATTGCTTGAAAATAAGTTTCCTTCACTTTTTTCATATGTGAAACTTCTTGTACAGTACAGAAAGGAAATTGAAAATGTGCCATTTGTTTTTTTCCTGAATGAAAATTTTCAAATAGATTACAATTTTGTTGACTAAACACACCAATCTGCTTTAAAATCATTTGGACAAGTGGAAGTGACAGAGTCACAGAGAGAAGTAGAGTATTTGCTCTAACTGCATCCAAATGGACCAAATCACTTAAATAATAAGTTTATATTTTGTATTTCATAATGAAATCAGTGTACCAACTATTTTTGTTTCCTCATATTCCCCTCTATTTTAGTGATCTTTATCACATATAAAGCAGATAGGGCTTCTTCCCCTATTCAATTCTCAACAGTGATAAAACAATAGAATGGGACTATTTATCCAACTGAGTCATGTTAAGCACTGAGTGAGTGAGCTACCCATCCTTTCTTTTCAAAATGAAAGTCAATCTTAATTACAATGGTTCAGGTTGAGCAAACTTCCTAACAAACCTTTTAAGCAAGGAATCAACCACACTTTTGTTCAACATGCATTTGCTTTACAGTTCTCAAAAGAATTTCATATAGTAATTGTATGCTTTAAGACTTATAAGTTATAGTCTAGATAGGCAAAGGGCAAGATTTTTGCACATGAAAAACTGGTTACTCAATTACAATTTCTGTCTGTACAAATTCAGAATGTTTGTTGATCTGGTTTGCTGTGCTGTCCAATATTTTTGGTTCCTGTTCCTGTTATGCTTTTTATTTATAACAGTGATAATGTATAATCCAAAGTCCAGTAAACATATGCATGGCATATTCATCAGAAATTAAGAAAAAGGGAAAATGGAGAATGGTTCCTTGAAAGATCAATAAAATCTATTAATAATTATTTAATACCAGGAAATATTCTTTATGACCACATAATTTCATATCAAAGTAAGAATTACAGCATTTATATGATGAACTCTCTTATTGTGTTTTACTTTCAGGCAAAATGGACAAGTTTTTAGGGAGAGGACTGGAGCTTTCAGAAAAATAATAAAGAAGCATGCTGATCTTGGTACATATGTTACTGAAAATTGTATATTTTGAAAAAAAAGTGTCTTACATAAAAAGATTATTTAAATAAAGCCTTGTATTTAATCGCTAGGTAAAGAGATTGATTTGAAATGCCAATTAAAAAGAAATTCTAAATCGTAAATTTATTTTAAGAATTTGGAAGATATATATAAACAGTTTACATGGTTTATATGATAAATAAATTGTTGTAAGTTTTATATTGTTCCAGTGTTTTTATGACTATAACATATGAAATATTTGTTAACAGTTTTCATGACAGCTCCAAACAGAGTACCACCATTAGAAAGAGATGGTGGGGCTGCTGACAGCACCATAGGTACTTATGATTTATACAGTTTTCATCTTCTTTTATATGCCAATGCAGTTGACTGACATATAAAAGCCTTGTGGTTCCTTTAACATTCGATATATTGACCTCAAAATATGTGTTTATATTCTTTATGAAAAAGTTGTGAGGGCTTAGAGTTGCTGCAGTGTCCATCTGACTTGGACCTGGACGAAAAGAAGTTTCTTTGGGTGATGACCTGATAACTTTGAAATATTACTAATTATCATGAAATGCAGGTTAAGATTGATTTTCAGTATTGCTGCAGTCACTGTTCTAGACTTATACTGTCTTGAAGTTTGGTAACCATTGTTATTTCAATATCAATCCAAAGTTATGTCGTTGAATTGTCTGGTCAAAGTTAAATTGATTGTTTCTAGTTATTCCATAATACTAAATGAGGAAAATGCTGCATACAAATGATGCTATCTATTTTTATTTTTGAGAAACCTACTCCAGTCACAATTTGTGATAATAAAAACATTACAAAAATTTCTGAATTTACAGTTTTGTTCAGAAATACATATTTTGACATATGATTGATATTCAAATAAGGCAGACATATGGAGACTGATTAAAACAATGTACTTTGTTTTGTTATTTAAGAATTATCCTGCTTCTTGTTCCCACTTGGGAATTACATCATAAAACTCAATGAGAAACATTTTTAGAGTGTTATTGAAAAGTTATGAGAATAGTAATTTAAATTTGATGAGAGTAAAAAGTTATTTTTACAGTGATTAATTATTTTAGAATGGATCATGGGTTAAAAGACATATACTGGTATAAGACAGATAATTTTCTTTCATTTCCCTTCATTTGAATCAAAAGTCATTCTATCAATTTTAGAGAGTTTAAGAAAAATTTAGGAAAAAATTAAGAAATGAATTAAACATGATATACCAATAGACAATAAGTTTTAGAGTTGAAATGTTTAATACAGATACAGATGCAAGAGGTTGGTGGTTTTCCAGAGGTGAAGATAATTATTACAATCCTCTAGATTACACAGACAGTTCCAAAGGTTTTGAAGACTCATTACAGTGTATAATACAGACATTTAAAGAACAGGTATTATCAACATGAAGATTAAATTACATTGCAGAATCTCTTCAGTTGAATATCTTTTATATTAAACAACTGTGAAATAAATGGAGAAGGAATAGACTGTTGAGAAAGTTTTATTGGAAATCAACAATATCAGCTCTAATCTGGCTTCTAATTAAATTCTTCTGATTGCATTATATATAAGCCATTTGTTGATTCAGTATCATGTTTACATTTTTTAGAAACTTTAACTTTGAGGTAGTATGATCTTCGTAAGTAGATTTGGGTTGGACTCACATTTCCAAAACCAATGTGAGTATCAGTGATACTTCACTTTTGCAGTACTAGTACTTTTATGTAAAAAAAAAAACAAGTTTACTGGTAAAATATGACTTGTTCTTTGGACTTTTCTGCCTGCAGGCTAATAGTTGAATTAACATTTCTGCTAATAAAGGTAAGGTGTACCAGTGTAACATGTCCTTTAATTCATTATTCACAGCATTTGACTCGCTTCAACCTCCATTTTATGCTGATATTGCATTGATGATTTTGTTGTTAATGTTTACATTTATAAAAGGTGATGGCAAACTTATGTTGTTCTGCATGACATAAAAATAGACATAAATTTTTATTATAAAAACAAGACATACAAGTATGTGAAATTAATTGTTTTATTTTGTTTCCAACAGTTTTTATACGACTGCATTTCCGGACAATAACTTTAGTTTTAGTGAGTGGATCTCTATGCAATTTTTAAGAAGGTTCAATACCACAAAAGGAAGGTTGGGATTGATTTTGGGGATGATGGTCCCAACCGTTTAGGAATTAGGGGCCCAAAACAAGCATTTTTCTAGTTTCAGGATAATAACTTGTGTATAAGTATTTCGATTGCTCTGAAATTGTACCACAATGTTTAATACCACAAATAGAAGGTTGGGATTCATTTTAGGGGTTATGGGGCCAACAGTTTAGGAATTAAGGGCCAAAAAGGGGCCAAAAACAAGCATTTTTAAAGTTTCCAGACAATAACTTGTGTGTAAGTGTATGGATCTCTCTGACATTGTACCACAAGGTTCCATATAACAAAGGGAAGGCTGAGATTGAGTTTGGGGTTAATTGCCCCAAACATGTAGGAATTAGGGGCCAAAAAAGGGCTAAACACAAGCATTTTTGTCGAAAAAGCGAGACATAGCGATCCTACATTCCGTTGTCGTTGTCATTGTTGTCGGCGGCGGCGGCGTCCACAAATATTCACTCTGTGGTTAAAGTTTTTGAAATTTTAATAACTTTCTTAAACTATCCTGGATTTCTATTAAACTTGGACAGAAGTTTGTTTATGATCATAAGATAATATTCAAAAATAAATTTTGTAAAAAAAAATTCCATTTTTTTCGTATTTTACTTATAAATGGACTTAGTTTTTCTGCCAGGAAACATTACATTCACTCTGTGGTTAAAGTTTTTGAAATTTTAATAACTTTCTTAAACTATCCTGGATTTCTACCAAACTTGGAAAGAAGCTTGTTTAGGATCATAAGATAGTATCCAGAAGTAAATTTTGTAAAAAAAAAATTCCATTTTTTCCGTATTTTACTTGTAAATGGACTTAGTTTTTCTGCCAGTTAACATTACATTCACTCTGTGGTTAAAGTTTTTCAAATTTTAATAACTTTCTTAAACTATCCTGGATTTGTACCAAACTTGGACAGAAGCTTGTTTATGATTAAAAGCTAGTATCTAGAAGGAAATTTTTGTTAAAATTTTGTTCCATTTTTTCCGTATTTTACTTACAAATGGACTTAGTTTTTCTTCCAGTTAACATTACATCCAGTCTGCAGTTAAAGTCTTTAAAACATTTATTAGATTCATAAACTATCCTGGATTTTTACCAAACTTGGACAGAAGCTACTTACAATCAAAAGCTAGTATAGAGAGGAATATTTTTATTAATTTTTTCCTCATTTTTGTTGAGCCTGTGATTAACAGCAAAAGTAGGTGAGACACTGGGTTCCGCGGAACCCTTACGAATTTTTCTAATTTTTCTAGTTTCCAGACAATAACTTGTGTGTAAGTGTATGGATCTCTCTGAAATTGTACTACAAGGTTCCATACTACAAAGGAAAGGCTGGGATTGAGTTTTGGGGTTATTGCTCCAAGGGGGGGTTTCAAAAAGTTGGGGGGGGGGGATTTTTTTCCCAATTTTTTAAGGGATTCATATTGTTTTTTCAAAATTTTTAGAATTTCAAATTTTTGAAAAGTTTCAAGAAGAAATCTTCAATTGCACAGTATTGCGCAATGGATTTATAAGATATTTGACCACATTTATTTTGTGTCAGAAACTTATATTATGTCAAAAATTTGATCACAATTCAAATTCAGACAGTATCAAGCGTGAATATTGTATCCAAATTTGCCCCAACTGTTCAGGGTTCGACCTCTGCGGTCATATCAGGCTGCGCTCAGCGAAGCATTTTATTAAAAGGTATGATAATTACGTTGCTGCTTTGATCTGTTAATCAGCTTGTCAAGTATGATGCAAACTCATCCAATTATAATTTCACATTTTGTACAATATGTTCTAACTTTTTACAGGGACCATTTGATGGAATAATAGCTTTTAGTCAAGGAGCTGCCTTTCTGTCACTTTTATGTAGCATACAGCAAGAAGAAACAGGTAATTGAATACCAAACACATGTTGGTAAATTGACCATGACCAGCATTTTCTTCCATGAAAGCTATTGCTGACACATGGCATCCATGGATGTTAATTTATTGATTTTTGTCGAGCCTGCGACTTTTGTCGCAAAAGCGAGACATAGCGGTCCTACATGTCGTCGTCCACAAATATTCACTTTGTGGTTAAAGTATTTGAAATTTTAATAACTTTCTTAAACTATCCTGGATTTCTACCAAACTTGGACAGAAGCTAGTTTATGATCATAAGATAGTATCCAGAATTAATTTTTGTAGAAAAAATAATCCTGTTTATCCGTATTTTACTTATAAATGGACTTAGTTTTTCTGCCAGTTAACATTACATTCACTCTGTGGTTAATGTTTTAAAAATTTTAATAACTTTCTTAAGCTATCCTGGTTTGTACCAAACTTGGACAGAAGCTTGTTTATGATCAAAAGCTAGTATCTAGAAGGAAATTTTGTAAAAATTTATTTTCTGTTTTTTCCGTATATTACTTATAAATGGACTCATACAGTCTGCAGTTAAAGTTTTTAAAACATTTATTAGATTCATAAACTATCCTGAATTTTTACCAAACTTGGACAGAAGCTTCTTACAATCAAAAGATAGTATCTAAAGGAAAATTTTTAATAATTTTTTCCCCATTTTTGTTGAGCCTGCAACTAACAGCAAAAGTACCGGTAGGCGAGATACTGGGTTCCACGGAACCCTTACGAATTTTTTTAATTGTAATTTAAACAATATTGAACACGAAACACAGTCAATTTATCAAAAATGTATAAAGAATATTAGCTAGTAAATAACTGCTGTATACTTAAATGATCAGTCATATTTAAAAAGGAGATGTTGGGTTTCAAACAATGAAACTAAAACCAAACATCAACTGATCTGAATGTTGTGTATTCATTATAATGCCTTTTCAGTCGCATGTTTTTCATTTACCTTATATGAAGAAAAATAATACACTTTGTTTTACAGCTTCTCCAATTAAATTTGACTTTGCCATATTTGTGTCTGGTTTTAAGAGTCGACAAAAAGAGCATGGCCATTTTTATGACGTCACTATAGAAATACCTACCTTACATGTGTTTGGTGAAACAGATCAAGTGATTGCAAAAGGTACACAAATATAAATTAGTTTTAATGATGCATAACATGTGAAAAAGTGGAAACAGTTTTTGAGTCTGCTCTTTCTTATATCAGTTTTTCTATTCTTTTAAACCTTCTGTCAAACTTTAGGTTTGAGATAATTTATTTTGAATTAAATTTCGGTATGAATCATGAGTTTTATGATGCAATGCTTCACAGCTATTTTTTAAGTGTTATCAAGATGTAACATCTATTTTAGTCAATAGAATTTATCATGCTATGTATGGCCATCTTACGCCTATCATTCTCAATTAAAAATACCACTTTCATTTTCAGCAACTAGAAAAATCAAATTTTAAATTAAAATGAAGAAACATTTTAAATAAAAAGTTCAAAATTATCATCCCCCCCCTTTTTTTTTTGATGATCAATGCTTTTGAATGGGGACATATGGTTGGAAACAAACCCCCCCCTTTTAAAAATGGCTGAATCCGCCCCTGTCATTCTAATCTTTGTTGTTTGGACAAAGGTAATTAAGATTTACATTACATTACATTAAGTACATTCAGATATATAATGAATGTTTTGTAAATCCATAAAAGTGATACAATTAAACCTCAAGCTGATTATATTACCAATTTGTTTTATGTTGACATAGGTTATAGAATTTATTTTTTTACATATTCATTGATGGTTTAAAATTTTGAAGTGCCAGAAGTATATTTACAGATTGAGCTCTAATCAATCTTAACTATTTCAGAGATGAGTGAAGATTTACTACAATGTTATAAAGAACCAATGGTACTACAACATGCAGGTGGACATTTTATACCAGCTTCCTCAGCTCAGAAAAAAAAATATGTGGAATTTTTAGACCTGATGATTGCAAGGAAAAAATAAAAATAAAATACTGATTTTGCCTTTTATCTTGAAAACTGTTATAGATAGACAGAAATTTATCAGCAAAACTGTTTAGCAATACAAGGTTCAAAAATGCCAATATGATAAAAACAATCAACTCCTTCTAGGACTTATTGCTGATACATAGAACTTTTTTACCAATTTAGTTCGTTTGCAAACTAAAATAGATAGACAAAACCATGATTAGCAAAAATGATCACTAATACAACATATAAGTAAATACAATACGACTGAAAAATCATCAATTGACTACTCATGGGAGTTATTGCCTATTATCTTTAAAACTATAATAGATAGACTGTTAATAATAATGGTATTGATTAAAGACAACCTATATAAGTTACCGTAAATTCAGAAATCGTTGCCTGCATTTATTATTGCGACTGTTGAACAAGGGACTATTGTGAGATTCATTGTTTCAATTTCAGGAAATGTTGCATAAGTAAGGGTATCAAAATTTAACATGCAAGTTTTTATTTTGAGAAACCTAACTCAATTTTTTTTTGCAATAATAAAAACATTATACACATTTCTGAATTTACAGTACGGTAGTTGCATGTTGCTTCAACATTGTCAAATCTAACCTGCAATCAACATCACATTTGAAAGAAACTTTGACCTTTAAAAATGTTAATTACATTTTAATTGCTAAAAAGTGACCAGGTGACTGACCTGAGAAAATTTTTAAACTTTGTGACCTTAGGGGGGTACCCTACTCAAATGACTGAAACTCAATTGAAAGTTTATTGGAGTTATTAGCCATTAAAATTGTATTCTTTATTACCTATTTTCTTGAATTGATTAACAAGGGGAAGAGGATGAGGGCTTTAAAGATTACAAAATAGAAAAATGATTAATCCTTATTTTTGTTTTTGTAATCTTATAAGCCCTCATCCTCTTCCCCTTGTTATTTTCAACTTTATTTATTTTGACAATTTTTTTTTTCTTCTGAAAAAAAACCTAGATATTCATTTACAAATATGCAGCTTTTCAAGTTATATCAAGGCCATTTAATTTTTTTTCTTCAGTGCTAGGATCACATTGTTTATAAACAAATACCAAAATGACATATTATGCCAGGTGACCAGTTTATAGGCTCTTAAAGGTATCAAGGTTCATTGACTGAATTGAAAAACTGTTTAGGTTTTTGTCCTCTCCTGCAACAAACTCTTTTTTCCCTCCTTTTCATGGTTTAGTGACTGCTTAAAAAGTAATTTTTTATCACATGGTTTTTACCTTTCCGGGTCACAGGGCCCCATGTGAGCTTATGTCATCACTTGGCATTCATCGTCGTCCGTCATCGTAAACTATTTCAAGAATCTTCTCCTCTGAAACTACTGGGCCAAATACCTTCAAACTTTAACTGAATGTTCCTTAGGGTATCTAGTTTATAAATTGTATCCGAAGTTTTGATCCATCAACAAACATGGCCGCCATGGCTAAAAATAGAACATTGGGGTCAAATGCAGTTTTTGGCTTATATCTCAAGAACTAAAGCATTTAGAGCAAATCTGACGGGGTAAATATGTTCAATAGGTTAAGATCTATCAGCCCTGAAATTTTCAGACGAACCGAACAGCCCATTGTTGGGTTGCTGCCACTAATTTGGTAATTTTAAGGAAATTTTGCAGTTTTTAGCTCACCTAGCCCAAAGGGCCAAGTGAGCTTTTCTCATCACTTGTCGTCCGTTGTCCAGCGTCCTGCGTCCGTAAACTTTTACAAAAATCTTCTCCTCTGAAACTACTTGGCCAAATTTAACCAAACTTGGCCACAATCATCATTGGGGTATGTAGTTTAAAAAATGTGTCAGGTGACCTGGCCAACCACCCAAGATGGCCGCCATGGCTAAAAATAGAACATAGGGGTAAAATGTAGATTTTGGCTTATATCTCTGAAACCAAAGCATTTAGAGCAAATCTGACATGGGGTAAATTGTTTATCAGGTCAAGATCTATCTGCCCTGAAATTTTCAGATGAATCGGACAACCTGTTGTTGGGTTGCTGCCCCTGAATTGGTAATTTTTAGGAAATTTTGCCGTTTTTGGTTATTATCTTGAATATTATTATAGATAGAGATAATTAACTAAGACAATCATCATTAGGGTATCTAGTTTAAAAAATGTGTCCAATGACCCCGCCTGCGAACCAAGATGGCCGACATGGCTAAAAAATAGTACATAGGGTAAAATACAGTTTTTGGCTCATATCTCTGAAACCAAAGCATTTAGAGCAAATCTGACAAGGATAAAATTTGTTCATTAGGTCAAGATCTTTTTCAGACTTTCAGACCAATCAGGCAACATGTTGTTGGATTGCTGCCCCTGAATTTGTAATTTTAAGAAAACTTTTCATAAATTTTGTAAATTTTTGTAAATTTTTACAAAATATTTTCCACTGTAACTACTGGGCCAAGTTCATCAAGATAGAGATAATTGTAAGCAGCAAGAATGTTCAGTAAAGTAAGATCTAAAAACACATCACCATCACAAAAACACAATTTTGTCATGAATCCATCTGTGTCCTTTGTTTAATATGCACATAGACCAAGGTGAGCGACACAGGCTCTTTAGAGCCTCTAGTTGATTATTATCTTGAATATTATTATAGATAGAGATAAACTGTAAACAGCAATAATGTTCAGCAAAGTAAGATCTACAAAAAAGTTGAATGACCAAAATTGTCAATTGATCCCTGAAGGAGTTATTGCCCTTTAACGACAATTTTACACAATTTGTTCATCATGTTTGCTAACATTTAAAAATCTTCTCCTCTGAAACTACTGGGCCTAATACTTACAAACTTAAACTGAATGTTCCTTAGGGTATCTAGTTTATAAATTGTATCCAAAGTTTTGATCCATCAACAATCATGGCCGCCATAGCTAAAAATAGAACATGGTGGACAAAAGCAGTTTTGGGCTTATATCTCAAAAAACTGCAGCAGTTAGAGCAAAAGTGAAAGGAGTTGAGGTGATAAATGGGCCATGATCTATCTATCAATAAATTTTCATACAAGTTCGACAACCCATTGGTGGGTTACTGTTGGAAATAGTTTATTATGCCCCTGCCGTAGCGGTGGGGGCAGTAAGTTTTACCCTTGTCCGTCTGTACGTACGTACGTCCTAAAATTGGTTTCCGTTCTCTAACTTGAGTTTGCGTCAACAAAATGTTATGAAACTTATGCACAATGCTTATTACCACAAAACACAGATCAACTCTTTATTTTCTTCAAAATATCAAGTAATTTTTAAAATTGGAGTTATCTTCCTTTGTCCATGATTATAGTTGAATCAACTACAATCAATGCTTTATACAATGCAATGTTTAATTTTGACTTCCACTGATAAAACACAGATCAAGTTGAATTTGGGTAGTGTCACTTTAACCATTATTGAGTTATGCCCCTTTATAAATCGAAAGATTGCAAATTTTTTAGTTTCCATTCTGTAACTTAAGTTTGCCCCAACCAAACATTATGAAACCTATACACCATATTCATTACCACAAAACTAATATCAAATACAAATTTTTTGTTTCCGTTTTCTAACTTTAGTTTGCCTCAACCAAATGTTATGAAACTTATACACAATGCTTATTACTACATAATACAGATTAAGAACGAAATTTGGTGGCGACACTTTTACCATTCTTGAATTATGTCCCTTTATAAACATAAAAATTGCTGAATTTTTCGTTTCCGTTCTCTAACTTTAGTTTGTCTCAACCAAATGTTATAAAACTTATACACAACCCTTCTAGAGTTATGCGTGTTTACAAATAGAAAAATTGCTGAATTTTTAGTTTCTGTTCTCTACTTAAGTTAGCCTCAACCAAATGTTATGAGACTTACACACAATGCTTATTATCACAAAACTCAGATCAAGTTCAAATTTGGGTAGCGTCACTTTTACCGTTCTTCAGTTATGTCCCTTTATAACTATATGATATGCAAGCGGGGACATCATCTGTGTCCACATTTATTTTTATTAAATTTTACTGTTTTTGGTTATTTTCTTTAATATTATAATAGATAGAGAGAAAGTATAAATGGCAATAAATGTTCAGCTAAGTAAGATCTACAAATAAGTCAACATGATCAAAATAGTCAAGTCACCCCTTAAGGAGTTATTGGCCTTAAAACGTCTTTTTCAAAAATCTTCTTCTCTGAAACTACTTGGCCAAATACTTAAAAACTTTAATGGAATGTTTCTTAGGGTTCTCTTGTTTATAGATTGTATTCGGGGATTTGATCCATTCAAAAACAGGGCGGCAGTTTCTAAAAATAGAACATAGGGGTCAAATGAAGTTTTTGGCTTTCATCTCAAAAACTAAAGCAGTAATAGCAAAACTAACACAGGTGAAAGTGTTAAACAGGTTTAGATCTACCTGTCAAGTAATCTTCAAACCAATAGGACAACTTATTGTTGGGTTACTGTCCAGAAATAGTTAATTTTTAGGAAATTTTACAGTTTTGGGTTATGTTATATCTTTAATATTATTATTGAAAGAGAGAAAGTGTAAATGACAAAATTGTTCAGCAAAGTAAGAGCTACGAATAAGTCAAATGCCTGAAACTGAAATTACAGGTGAGCGATATCAGGCTCTCATGAGCCTCTTGTTCAGTAAGGTGTAATACCATGGAATAGTATACCCATATACATATTATTTCCAAGGTAATATTAGATAGGACAACTTTATTTGTTATATAAAAGCATTGCAAAGTATGCAGAACAGGTTCACTTGACCTTGACCTCAATTCATGGTAAAGATTTCATGATAGGTCTAGGTTTTTTTTTTCAGTGTAAAGAATGAGTAAAGGGTGTACATGTCCATTTGACCTTGGACTCATTTTCATGATCAGGTACTGTTCTATGATACTATATTTAATTTGGCAACTATATTTGGTGTACATATCTGTCTGACAGGGTTTATCTTACTTGACCTTATTCTCATGGTTCATTGGTCGATGTTAAGTTTTTGTGATTAAGATGGCCTATCAGATTCAATAAGTAAGTCAGTGTTTGGAATAATTATGGACTTTGGTGTACTTTTCTAACAGGGTTCATATGACCAGTGCCTCATTTTCATTAGATGCTTGTTTGTCTTGTGCTAGGGTATTTGGTATTTGCTGCTTTGCAGTTAAGCGCACTGAATTTAAGAATAAGTGTAAAGGCTAGTCAGCTTGCAGTGGAAATAATGTGTCCAGGGAGAGTGCCATGTCTTCCTGCAGACTGATACCTTGTTAACTAGCACGTTAACTATTACTCTTCAAGTAGTCACTAGTTACCAGTTAATTTTAACACAATAAACCATTATGTAAATCTTGACATGCTAATCATGTTAACCCTTGCAAGGTTTTCTCTATATCTTAAGATATACACCAAAGACTGCAGTTTGACCCCTGTGCAGAGACAAGTGCCTGTGCCCATATGTTCTATTTTCATCCCAGGCCAGGTCTAACCAAAAACTTAAAAATTGGTTTTGCTGCTCCTCACCTAAGGGTCAGAATTAAGTTTGGTTTGAATCTGTTCAGTTGTTTCAGAGAAGTTTTTTTTTAGTTAGCTTTGATTACATAGATCAGTAATTGCTGGTTTACATCTGTGTTTTTTAGCAATGAAGGTCACGTATTTTGTTCCCAAATCATAATCTCAGATAAAATTTTATAAACTAGAGTGTTCAGTGTTTTTAAAGAAGTGATGACAAAAGTTCACATGAAAGTTCAGCCCAAGTGAGCTTAAAAAGTATTACTTTCAGCCATTTTTTTTTCAAAATTTAACATGTCTTAATTATATGTGAAATCTGTGACATCCATATACTATAACTTAGATCTCAATTTCTGAAGAAAGAAAAGCATATATTTTTTCTTCATTTATATTGAATAAAACAAAGTAAACAAGCATATTCCTGAAGTAGGGAATACATTTTTTATTCATTTATATTGTAATAAACAGAGAAAACTAACTAAACAACACAACTATCACATATATGCTTATGATGAACTGGGCTTATATTTAAAAACCCACAGAATCATAAATTAAACATTTGGTATTTAACAAAATGTGTTGTCCTTATTTGCCTTTATATAAATACTGACATACAAAAAAGAACAAAATGCTTTTATTTCTCTCCATTATTGAAGGTTTCTGTTTTCTGTCTGGAAAATTAAATCAACTTGACATCATGTAGTAGGTTTGTTAATCTAGTGCATTTTCAGCATCAGTCTGTTTTTTTTTCTTAATATAAATTGGTTAAATGATCACACTTTTTATTTACACCAATATATATGTAGCTTTTTAACTAGAACGTAAATACATTTTGAAATGGTCTATGTACTCTTGAAGACTCTATAAGATGTTTTCTAATTGGACTTTGTAGGCCTAGTTTAATTCTTGGCGGTGTGTGTGGATCCACTACTTCCCAAACATGTGGATTTTCCAGTTTTATCTTTAATAATTCTGCAGCCTCTAAATGGCCTGAAATTAGATAATGACTTTAATAGTTTCAAATAGAAGAATAATGCCTATTTGGAGTCATAATACAAATATAATAGATTCTGTGTGATATTTGCTCTTTCTCTTATGGTTGTGGCCTGTTATCTATTTCTTACATGAAGAGATATATCTTGAATCACACTGCACAGAGTTTGATACGAAAACTGCCTTAATTTGATTGGCTTATCCAGTATCATGAGAAGATATTACGACATTTCCATTGGCTATTCGTTAGGTCATTGATGACTTTCAAAGGTTAAGACGATGTACATTTTATCCATGGCAACGGACATATGTGATTTCTTCAATAATATACAAAACACACACACTTTTCACATGGAAATATTCTTTTTGTCACATTCTGAAACGTACAAAAAGTCTTAAAATGTCTGAAGTTAAAGTTTGATGCCGGAAAAGGACATATGACGTCACTCATGGTATGTGCAAAAGACTAGATCAACGATTCGCAGAAATTTAAATTTAACACAAAAAGAGTGTTGACCATAAGAGAAATAGGTTTAACAACGCGTGAGAATTGGATATCGCTTATATATAATTTCAATATAATAATAAACGAGCCTTCAGCTCACTTGTTATGAAACCTATAATTATCCAAAGGTAAAGCAGGAATACAAAACAGAGATATCAATTCAGTTATGCAATGTACTGAAGACTGTATGTTGACCTCTACAAGTCTTTTATTTAAAAGCCCAAAGCCACTGTCCAGAGTGGCAAGGACATATTGTTTCAAGAATTACCAAAAACATGCATGTATGTCTATTGTCATCTACATAGTAATTTTCAATTTCAAGTATTTTTTATTTGGTTTAAAGATATACATGTATTAAAATCTGTATACTTTTCAGTACAAAAGGATCTTTCTAGAAAGCTGCACTCAATAACTTGAACATTTAGAGATTTGATCTATTTAAAAGAGTGGGAGATAACTTTTTTGTGTGGATTAGTCAATTTAGAAAGATTAAAACAAGAATACACTGTAACCCACTAGTGCGATCGAATTTCCTTGTTCAGGGAACTGTGGGTCAAAACTGACTGTAGCTTGGCAAATAGATTTAAAAGTTCACATCATAAATGAACATGAGTACTAAGATTCAAGTTGATGTGATCACAACTTAATGATAAACCACCTAGAGGCTGTTCCATTAAACCATACATTGGACCTAGGGAATGATGGCTTCAAAATATCATCATGCTTGCATTTTATATTAGTGGTTTAAAGGTTACAAGAGCCAAAGCAATGCAGATGACCTACAGATATAAATCTATCAATCAATCGCAACTTTTCTACCCTTCATTTGACAGATATTAATAACACTGTTGGAGTGTGTATTCTAAATAGTCAGAAGTGTATTAGCATTAAGAATGTCATGTCCAACCAACTTATCATCTCATACAGTTGGTGGAAAAAAATTACTTCAATAAATATGCTATTTCCACGGTATTGTTCTGCGGATTTGGAACATTTCTCCCAACGTCCCTCACCTGAATCAACACTGGAGCCTAGAAAATAATTTATGACTAAGATCTCATTTTTGTTGATCTTGTAATGTTGATAATTTTTTTCTGTTTTCTCTTCTTTCAATATACTTTAATTTTTTCCCAAAATACCAAAAAAAGTAAAATTTGTCATTCAAGGGCAAAAACTTTAGTAGGTCCATAAAAAATGGGTTAAGAAATTGTCCTTTAAGGGCAGTAACTCCTAAAAGGAGTCAATTGACAATTATAGCAATGTTTACTTAGTTGTAAATCTTCTCTTGCTCATCAATTTAGCTGTTTGCAGATTTCTTTATCAATTTTTTTTTTTTTGTAAAAGAGGCAAAACAGGTTAAATAAAAATTCTCATTTAAGGGCAATAACTTCTAAAAGGGGTCGACTGACAATTTTGGTTATGATGACCTAGTTGTGGATCTAGTCTTGCTGATAATTTTTGCATAATATGCAAAAGATGGGTAAAAACCATTATTAAAGGGATATAACCCCTGTAAGGAGTCAACTGACAATTTTGACCATGCTGATGTATTTGCAAATCTTGTTTTGCTATCATTTTTTCTGTTAAAAAGTTTTTCTTTTATATACTATAGTTTATGCCACCAATGTAAAAATGGGTTATGAATCACCAATAAAGAGCATGTTTACAAATTTGAAGATCTTGTCCTGTTGATTGTATTTGCTGTATATGGTTTTCTTTATCTACTATAGTTTTGGCTGAAAGTACAAACATAAATGGAGAATGTGTCTATGGGCCACAGATGCCCCCGCTTGTAAATATGCATGAGTCAACTTCCACATACAGATGCAGGATTCATGTAGATAAGACCGTTTTGTGATTATAAGCATTGTGTATAAGTTTCATAACTTTTGGTTGAGGCAAACTAAAGTTAGAGACAGATTTAGCAATTTTTCCATTTATAAAGGGGCATAACTCAAGAACAGTAATATTGACGCCACCCAATTTCAAACTTGATTTTGTGGTAATAAGCATTGTGTATAAGTTTCATAACATTTGGTTGGGGCAAACTAAAGTTTGTGAACGGAAATGAAAAATTCAGGAATTTTTATGTTTATAAAGGGGCATAACTCATGAACGGTAAAAGTGACGCCACCCAATTTCGAACTTGATCTGTGTTTTGTGGTAATAAGCATTGTGTATAAGTTTTATAACATTTGGTTGAGGCAAGTTAAAGTTAGAGAACAGAAACGAAAAATTCAGCGATTTTTAAGTTTATAAAAGGGCATAAATCATGAACGGTAAAAGTGAGGCCACCCACCAAATTTCCAACTTGATCTGTGTTTTGTGGTAATAAGCATTGTGTATTAGTTTTTTAACATTTGGTTTAGGCAAACTAAAGTAAGAGAACAGAAACGAATTTTGGGGACGAACGGGACAGACGGACGGGTCGGACAAGGGTAACATTTAATGCCCCCTCTGCTACGGCGGGGGCATAAAAATGGTAAAAATCCTTATTTCAGGGCATTAACTCCTTCAGCCATGTTGATAATTTGTAAATCTCATCTTGCTGATCAATTTTGGTATTAATAATTTCTCTTTTCTTTCAAAGAATATATTATATCAATATAATAGACAAAGATGAAAAAAATTGGTAAAATGGTCATTTAAGGGTAATAACTACTACAAAGAGTTGTCTGACAGTTTTAGTGTAAAGGTTACACTTCTGTAAATATAGACAATGCTATTTCCCATAGTAACTCCTTTTACTGCTAAAACCGTGCCACTTTTACTATGAAGTTATGTAAAAAATTATATCCTAGAATGGAAAGTTCATATGCACTACTACTTTTTTCAAAAGTCAAAACAGTGCTGTGCGGCATATTTTCAACAGTAATATGCCTTGAACTTCTAAGAGTTTAAACTTGAACTAAAATTGTGTATTACCCCTCCCTTCACTTTGGGTCTTCCTCTGGTAAAATTCACATTTTGTGTCTCTACTGATTGGAAGGTGGAACATCCAAATTTTTTGTCAAATTGTCATGATGTTCACTCAAGACTAGTACATGTATTACTGTATGCCAATCAAAACTGAAAATGCAACTGCTCCTACTGGCCAATTAGTCCAGGCAATCTATGAAAACGTTAAACTAATTGCAACAGAATATATTATTGCTTTTATGTTATCAGATGACTGCCATATACAACATATAAAAAGTCTTTGAAAATAAAAAATGTAAAAAGGGGTCAATTTGGGGGGTGTAATTTGTGGATTTTGGCTTGCAGATATTGTCACAAAAAGATCGCCATACACACAAAGGGAGACAACTACAACAACAAAACTTTTGTCAGTACAAACTTTATCGTTGATTTATTCTGCAAAAATATTTATACAATGTGAACGAAGACTTCAATTGATTGTAAGTATCTATAATAAGTCTATATATCCTTGATCATACTAGTAACAACAACTGTTAAAGCACGAATCATCAAACGCAAATTCCAGAGTGACGTCACAACGCGGGTTTTTCACATACTATTTTCGGCATTATTTAAGGAAGTAATCAGAAATTTTTAATATAAAATGCAGATATTTACAGAAATAATTGTATGTATTATTATATTAAACCCATTTATACGTTTTATTTCTAAAATAGTAACATTTCTACATACGTCCTTGTCAAAATTTAAAAACTATGGAACGCCGTTAGCGACAAAAAGCTAACATTTATAAAATGTATACGGATTAGAAAAGTAGCATAAATCTTATATTCTGCAACATAAGATAAGAACTATTAGAAAAATATAAAGACATTAGTGTAATCCTGATGTAAAAAAACAAACAAATTAATACAAAACGCAAATATAACAATCGTTACATGTATGATGATGATTACTTCTTCTGTAATAGATTTAAAAATAAACAAGCAAATTGAAAATTACGAAATTATTTATTTTTGCAGATTATATGGATGTATTGAATGACATTAGCAAAATTAATGCAGTATCATGTATGCCATAATGAGATCTAATCCAGCGGTGATTTATTAGTTTTTAAGGTAATTAATAACGAATCATAGAGTTACATGTACATGTAAGAGTAAATATACTCATATTGGAATATTAGTTTTTAAGGTAATTAATAACGAATCATAGAGTTACATGTACATGTAAGAGTAAATATACTCATATTGGAATATTAGTTTTTAAGGTAATTAATAACGAATCATAGAGTTACATGTACATTGCACAAATGTTTGATGTAAGAGTAAATATACTCATATTGGAATATCAAGTACCAGTCTCAGTAATGAAAAGATAATTTGATAGCCTTGAGTGCCGGACACTTTGATTCACTGCCAGGTTAGTTGATGCTGTTCCGGTAAGCATGATATATTTGAAAAGCAAATGATAGGGGTTTTGGGATCAGAATTATTCGACTCATCAGAGATGTCTTTCTATGGGCTATTAATTTAACGAGCTAGCACATCGGAGCGTATAGTACAAAGACGGT